AAACGTGTCCTAAACAGTTGTGGTATCACTCCTGCCCTGGGCTGTTCACATTTCCTATATCCTCATATAACGCCTTCATTGTTACAATTTTTACCGGGCTTATTTAGATGTAGTGTGGTGTGCCCTTTTGAGTGGCACTCATGAGAATCCTCCACACCTATGCTGGCGTTCTCATCTCCCTTTCACCATTGTGCTGGGAACGTTAATGATAGTCTGTCATATTGTTACGCAGTCCTCCTTCCCTAGGTCTTATCACAATCTCCCTCTTGCCCCGTAGGATCCGTCTGCTATCTCCCTGGTTCGAGTATTTCACTCGACCCCTGTCACCTCATCTGTGCTCCACGAGGCATTATTACCCATCTCCTGCCTCTGGGTGACTATTCGAGTCTAAAGCCTCTGAGTAAGTCTCATGGTCATGCTATATGAACCACGTCTTGTGCGCCAACAGTGAACCTACCGTATTTTCCGGCGTATAAGACGATCCCCTGACTTTTCCTGTTAAAATATAGATTTTGTAAGGAGGTAAGGGGCACAACAGAAGCTTGGAACCATATTCTAATTAGCGATCCCTAAACTACACTCGGCATATAAGACGACCCCCCACTTAGGAGCAGAAATGTATGGTGTGAAAAGTCGTCTTATACGCCGGAAAATATGGTAATCAAAGCAAACATTACCACGACATTTGTGAGTTGTCACACAAGAGATTAGGGTACAGGAAGTCATATACTTGGTATTAGGGATAGAAACAGGATAGACGCGGCTGAGACGAGTTAATTGGCTGACATTAGGCTTGTTTTACCATAGACGTGGTCCATATAACAAATACTTATTCAGAGGCTTTAGACTCAAATAGTTACCCAGACGCAGGGGATGAGTAATAACGCCTCGTGGAGCACAGATGGGGTGGCAGGGGTCGAGTAAAATACTCGAAGCAGAGAGATAGCAGACGGATCCTACGGGGCAAGAGGGAGACTGTGATAAGCCCTAGGGAAGGAGGACTGCGTAACAATATGGCAGACTATGATTAGCATTCCCAGCACAATGGTGAAGGGAAGGTGAGAACGCCAGCGTGGAGTGTGGAGGATTCTCATGAATGCCACTCAAAAGGGCACACCACACTACATCTAAATAAGCACGGTATAAATTGTAACAATGAAGGCGTTATATGAGGATATAGGAAATGTGAATAGCCCAGGGGAGGAGAGATACCACAACTGTTTAGGACACGTTTTGTCAAAGGATCGGCTTCACTTGTCTCTGACGAGTTTTAGTATGGTGCTAAGTGTGGCAAGACTCACTGATGATGCCAGCGAAACGTCTGTGAATGTACCACTTCCACGGTCCAACTTTGGAAATGATTATGCATACAATGAACTCCGGACTAGATGCGTTCCTCTAAGTCTTCCTACCAATATGACCAAGTTGTGAAAACAAGGTCAAATGACTTCTATTATTTCTAACTTTGACAATTTATGATATAAGCTATAGATATGATATATGATATAAATATGATCATTTATTTATCTCCTATCTTGTTGCTTCACTATTTGTTATCACCAGCCAACATCTTCTACGTAGCCGAATATCAAGAACTATACCCTCGGCTACTAAAAGATTTCAATGAATCTATACAAACCAGGTTAGTCTGTTCTGTGGTATATAGTGATTGAGTTCATTTTTGCCTTTTAAATATTCTGCGTTGGTCGCTGTCACAAGGCTCTCTACTTTAGAGTTTTTATCTACATATTTGGTTGGTTTACCATTCATGTATTGTTATCTGACTCCGTTTTACAATGTTCTAGTATACGACCTTACCAGAGGGATACCGTACTACAAGTAACTTATATCAAGCATACAAGTAAGAACCACACGCGGATCCATACACCCTATTGAAATGGAGACTGGTGTTTTAGAATGTCACTTTGTTTAAGAGATCTTTATGCTTCATTCATTGCGTTGTGCCAGCTTAAAATTGAAGCCTAGAGATCGACCTAGCTTATATGCTAGTCTGGCAGGTTAAATGGTGCGTTCGTGTGAAGGAGGCGATAATATGCTTGTTTGAAATTCTCTGTCTGACATGAAAAAGCATTGAGAGATAAATGTGATGTCATGTAATAGGACTAATTAGTAATGTTAGAGAGATTTTCATTCCGTATGAAAGTGCATGAAGAAGAGATTCGAAGAATGATAATATCAGAAGACGATGGCCGAATC